AAAACGTTGTTTTAGGGCGTGTCAACCTCCCCCCCCCCCCAATCGCTCTACAGCAGCAGACTTTATTTTTTTTTGGGGGGGGGGAGTTTGTTCGGAAACAGATGCTTCTTTTAAAATTATATTATAATCTCGGATTCTCAGAATCGACTATCTCTGGTTTTATGCACCCAAGTGACCCAGCAAGGATAAAAATACCGTCGTTCGGATCAGCGTACGAAATTGTACTTACAGACGCAAAATTAATCACTAAACAGCAGTATTCTAGCGATTTATGGCTTTTGAAAGTCAAGTTAAATTGTATTAATATTGTTGACAATTGACAAATCGCTCGAAACTTTAAAATTAAACAAGACTTACCTGTATGTCGAAGTTTGATTGGGATTCTACTGGTGTCTCGTGAGAAGCACATGCGTGCTTCGCTGATCAGTTTTTAACGTGAACGCTTGCAGGAATGAGAAACGAAGAGTCACGGGTGGGAAGGGCATTGTACTGAGTACCTGGGCATGTGACTCCTTCGTTCCTGACTGATGACTAGTAGAATCCCAATCAAACTTCAACTTACAGGTAAATCTCGTTCAATTTTAGAATTTTACTACGTCATTAGTCACGTCACTACGGAATCACATGAGATTTCAAAGTCCTGCGACCGTGAAGAACCCAATTCCAACACATGAATGGATAAACAAAATGTATTTGTTTTAGTTTACCCAACTACATTATAACTACTTAAACTGTTGTTACTGTTTCATCATCTGCTGTGTTGAGAATTGTTGAACCAAAACTTTCAGGTTCAATATCATAAAACTTTGCTTTGACACACGACGTTGATGCTGACCGAGTGCTGTGACACGTGAATTTATATCTGTATCAATTCCCCATTGCTGTAGTATTGATTTGACCCATCGGGCAATGGTGTCTTTTGTTACTACTTTATGTGGCTTTACGAAACTCACAAATAGTTTTGATTGTTTACCTCCGAGATCAGTAGTTCGTTTGATATATTCTTTGCGGTACTCTAACACACAAATTCTTTTGTCCCTTGGATACGAACGAAGTTCCAAAGGCGCTTGATGTTTTCCAGCCTTAGTATGTTTTAAAACTTCTCTAATCGTAATAATGCATTTGTCCGTTTCCGATTGGATGAAGTTCATATCTATCTTGTGTATTGTTTGACACCTTTGTCCCGTTAATTAGTAAACACAAAAAAGTGGCAAGATTCATTGTAAGATCTTTTAAACTGACTTCAGAAACTGAAGTAAACTGTTGTAAATAACAAATAACTTTATTTACAAATTTCAGCGTATTTTAGGAGGCAAGGTTTAAGCTTAAATACTCCTGTTAGAAACCGGCAAACTAAAGGATCTTTCCCAAATGAAATCTCTGTCCACAGGGCTTTTGACGCTTTTAAATGTATGGGTAGTTTTTCTCCCATGGAAAGGGCTTTCGCATACCAAGGTTGTGTTGGCCAATTTGGTAGCATAACCACTCCCCTTGCTTTTTCTTTCTTGATTTTGCTTAAAACAATCCCTATAAGACTAAAAGGAAGAAAAACATAAAATATGAGTGAGCTCCATGTTAGAGTAGATGCATCTACTACTGCCGTCTGTGGGTCTGTTTTGTACGAAACATATGTATCAAATTGTTTATTAATTTTTGAGGCAAATAGGTCAATACTTGGTGAGTCTTTCAATGGTTTGGCTAAATGTAGTTTATCTAGCATTCCTTTCGATGCCTTTTCATTTCTCCTTGATTCAAAATACGCAGTAAAATTATCTCGCCCTAGTATATGGGCGGCAATTATCCATATTTGCCCCTCAATACACCAATTCTAGACCTGTTGGGCTAAAATATTACATTTGAAAGAAGGCTTGTACCATGAATGTTGTTAATAATGCCGACTGCGGACGTATTGTCTATCATTAGCCTTATATGAAGGTCACGTTTTGTTTGTGCAAACGTTTTCAAGCCCAAAAAGGTAGCTAATAATTCTAAATAGTTTATGTGCTCGTTTGCCTCAAGATGTGAGCACAATCCACCAGTGGCTAAACTCTGACATTCAGCACCCCAGCCTTGCAGGGAGGCATCTGTTGTAATTACTAGGGAAGGGTGCCCATGTGAAATGGGTTTAAATGCACCTATTACCATGTTTGACCACAATTTTAACTCTAATATACTTTCTTTAGAGAGGGTCATTTTGACATTAAAATTACCCTTATTCCAAGTTAGAGCTGAGGTTTTGTCCCTTTCTAAATGTCGATATAGTAAAGAGGTCCGTGCAGGACACCAGGAAAACTTGATACTATTTTCCCAATAATTTGGGCAACTTCTCGAATTACAATGTTACCTGCAGGACATTTTTTAAGAAACAAATCACAATCTGACTTTAGGATCAGTGCTTTCTCTTGTCTCAGTTTGACAGTCGTTATCACTGAAAATATTATTTCCATGAAAATACACTTTTCTAGATGGACTAAAAGGCCCAGTTGTGTAAAAAGTGTCACTGTATCTACAGTATTAAATTAGAACAACACTTCTCAGGAGTTTTGCCCTGTAAATAGAAATCATCTAAATAGGGCTCTTCTTTTAGGGCTCCTAATGATAACAGTTAATATTGTAATTGATTGGATTACCCTGCTTAAATAAAAGGTTCTATCTAAATGACTGGAAACAATGTGTCCTTTGATGTGTAATGATGACAAGGCAGGTTTAAGGATCTTAGTAAATTTTCTAGGGCCGCTCGTCAACCCATTTGGTGGGCAAGTAAACTGGTTAAGTTAATTATTCCAATAAAATCTCAAATATTTTCTGTCCCTTTCCCGAATATAGGTATTGAATAATAGGCATCTTTGAGATCTATTGAGACCATAAAACAATTGTTGTCGATTATCGTGACTATTGTGTTTAATGAATCCATTTTAAAATGATAGTAGGATACATGTTTATTGAAATCTTTTAGATTAACGATCATGCACTCTATGAGTGCCATCCTTTTTAGTCTTGTAAAAATGTTTGAGATAATTTCGTCTTTTGCATGTTCGACTTGTTCTATATACTGTTCTTGATACTAATAGTAATACTACTATGAGCTGTTCTTGATATAGAATTAGGCCTGAAATCCTTCCTAAAGTCGGCGAATCATAATTTGACAGCAATTACATAGATAATTTTGTGATTGAAAATCGCTGGCAAGAAAATATATATTTCAAGTCATATAGTGTGTTGTATTAAACTGTTCATGCAAATATGACACTAGCTTACAGTATGCAGTCACATATAATACCTTGCATGCAGGTAGGCCTAGTTGTATATCTTAAGGCCCTGTCACACTATTGCGTACGAGAGAAACGTATGAGAAGCGTATGGAAATTAATGAAATAATTTTTATACGCACAAAAATCCTTTGAAATGCCAGGGTATGAGTACCGTACATCTGGCGTACATCTGGCGTACATCTGGGGTACCTCTAGCGTATTCAGCGTGTGCCTAGAGTATGCTTATCGTATAAAGCATACGTCCGATACGCACAAAATTTTTGAACATGCTTAAAAAAAATTTTCTGGCTTGCCGTACGCCAGCGTATATGTCACCGTATGCGATCGTGCTTGAAACGTATACAACCTACGCCTAACGTACCCCTAGCGTATGTCAGCGTATACCGGCGTATGAGTGATATTTTTCATACGCTGGAATACGCTAGTATGATACGCAATAGTGTGACAGGGCCTTTACATACGATTGTTATCTGGGGATACTAAGATTAAGGTGTGGGGGGGGGGGGTAGGATGCACATAATATTTCAGGTTTTTATGCTCATTGTCTCGGTCTAAATGCCACATTTTACATGTGCCAAATCTAATGTGAATTTACATGGTTTGACTCAAATAATAAAGTTTGACATTTTGATTTAAATGTTGAATTTATGTACGTAAATTTTCTTGTAAACATATGTAAGTTATACATTTGTCTAAACTAATTACTTTGCAATCATACTAATTATTAATTGACACACATTAAATGAGACCTTTGACACACATTAAATGATGTCGACGCACTTAACGGTCTTAACCCATCGAGCGTCAGCACTTTCCCCATGATGAGCAAAATGTCTGACAGTAGACAGAGTAAGATAGTAAAGTACATTAGATAGTCTGATTAACCCATTGAGCAGAAGCACTCTAGATCGCCTTGACCAGTACAATCATCTGGCACAAAATAATTTGGTAGCACTTAAAGGGTTGAACAAACTTTTCTAGACTTGGCACATGTAAAATGCAGCGTTTAGACACGAGGCAAAACAGAATATATGTTTTCTGTAATATGTATAGTTATGCATACATGCAGTCTTGCAAATAACCATAGCTATTTTAATGATGGAAAGAATATTGAGAAACAACCAAATATCCCACTCACCGGCTGTTCAGTAACAAGATGGGCTTTGTCCACAACAATCGCTTTTAAATTGTCTGTATATTACTTCGAGTTTAATAAATAATCAAAAACTGCATGTCCTTTAAATGCTTTAATAAAGCTTGACAATAACACCACGCCTATACACTTCCGTCCAAACTACTTCCGCTTTAAACTTCAAACAACTACTTCCGCTTTACACTATCGACCGCAATCCACTATCCACTATCGGAGAAAAATGAAAGCCGAAACCTATACTCGCCAGGGCACAAGTGTCCCAGCAAGTAATAAGACTATAAGACAATAAAATTTCGATTGATAAGGATACAACTATCTGACGAAGTAGGCAGGCTACTAACTTCCTGAATAAAAGCCTTTTCACGAAACTCCCAATTCCTCTTCAAATGCACTGCGTTTCGCCCAACTTATGCAATCTGAGAAATGGTCACTTTTTTTCTTATACTACCATGGCAAAATCCAATTAACGATGCAGTTTCCTTATTCTTTTAATTAGTTCATTTCCAATTTCATGCATGGTGAACGCGGTGCCGATATATTTACTTGAGACAATAGTATATAGTCATAATCGTCAAGTATTGACAGAAAGAAGTAAAGTGTGGTGAATGCTTCAAGTGGACACCACGAAGTTGAAGAATTAACTTTCCAAAGTAAGTTACATTTGATTTTTACACTGTGTGCTTTCATATTATGGGAGCAATAGGAGTGCGGGCTTGCAAATTTTAAGAAATGTGGAAATTAATCCTACAGCACGTTTACACGCTGTGATTTCTGGTGTGCGATTCGTATTATTGTGTATGTAATCGAATAATTAAGCACGCGCAAAGTAGCTGCATTTCAAATTTTGCCACAAACAAAATGAAGAGGGATCATTGAGCGTTGGCAGTAATTTTCATCGGCAGAATGCGAAACATAGACGACAAATCGCAGCGTGCGTAAACGTACATAAAGTTAACGGACACGGACAAAACGTGCATGGACAAAAACGAAACGAATCACTCCAAAACCGAAATCTTTTTGCCAGTTTTTTGCATACATCCTAAAGACCCATACAGAGCGGTCGCGATTTGGCAACCGGCGACGCGAATTTTCAATGACTTTAATATTTTTTATGTTTTTCAAATATTCGGAACCACCTAAGCAATTTTAGCTATTTGGTCTGCATATCTTGTAAATTTTTATCCGTTCACAGTTGTATTTGTTTTCATAAAAACTGAAAAAAATCGAATCGCGTTCGGTCTGTATGGGCTTTGATCGTCATTAGACGTGTTTCGCCAAGCACCATAACGATGTTTAATTCGGCGGCTATCTAAGATAATTTGGAGCACGTAGTCCTTTTTTGTTCTTGTTTTATATATAGCGAATAAATAATTTGGTCACTTTAATTTGTGGTATTCGACAGATACTTTATCTATGAAGTTCCCTAGTATTTGCTATTTTACTTATTTATTATATTTTATTCTGCAAGATATGCCACACACAAACATAAATACCACTAAACCATTACGACACAATATGACATAATTTACATGCAGTATATAGACAGGGACTGATCACAGAAATAATCCAATAACCGCGGGTCCCGAACATATACTAACAATTCATCTATCGGCAACTATGTATCTGGCGAGCGGATTTGCTTGTGCATGGTTTGCCAGATTTGACGTTCGTTTTAACTTATAAGCCGGTCTGAATACGCAATGCGACACATTTCTCCATTTACAAAAATTTTATGTTTGTATTAAGAATATTCTCATGATTTAACATATAGGCCTACTCAGTAGGGAGAGCACGAAAAAGTGCAAAAGTTTGTCAAGACAGAAGGTGAGACAAACTCTAGCAATGATCACTGATTACAATCTCAAAATGCACTTAAATGAAATGTTTTGGCTATTGTATTTTAAAGTGGCGTTACAGCCGTCACTTTGACGCATGAGTCGAATTCCTCAAACAATTACTTTTTCAATAGGTTAATTTTAGTCTATAAAGTTGATAAGAATCACATATATGTGTATACATGTCCATTTGTGTTCATTCATAACAATTATATATCGCAATCGATAGCCATAATTGTAAGCAACAAGATCTCAACACTGCACATGAGGAGCGGTAACTAATTCGTGATATTCACTACCTCCTTAGCAAGCCTTTCAAAAATATAAAATTGGTGGGAAACGAACGGAAAGTTAGTTAAACTTACAGCTAGCCTTACAGCGGCTTCGTCTCAAACAGTGCTCTCATTTCCCATTGCCTGCAGGAATTCCTTAGATTCTCGATAAAACATTTCTCAGATTCGGCAAATTTCCTTAAACGACGGGTAAGCATGTTTTTTTTTGGTAATTCATGGCCTGAATGATATAGAATTACAAAGTTAGGTTCCCAGAATTTTTGTCTCATTTGGGAATTGGGATTTTGAGCAGCATCGTCAAAAGATATTTCACATTGTTGGTCAAGGAATATCTTCCTTCGAAAAATTTTTGCAGTCCTGAATGCGTAAGACTGCATTTCTTGCGTTTTTAAAAAGTATTTTTTGCATAAATAACAGCTACATTGACTGATTTTTTAAACATTACTTGGATATTTTCAAATATTGGATAAAAACTAAAAATTCCTTAGAAATTCCTTAAAAATTCTATTTCCATAAAGGACATTGGCAATAAGAAATTAGTTTAGTTCATTTGAAAGAACTCTTAAAACTATATATTAAACTCTATTACAGATTGTTTATAGCTTGCTTAGTTTTCAAAATATTTCGACTGAAAAAGTGAGCAGTTCGCCATCTTAGAATATTGAGGATATGCATATTACGTCAAGAGAGGGGTCACGCTAATTTTTTATCTTGAGAGTAAGCGATCAATATGGGTCCAAGACTTCGTTTCTGGTTGCTGTCAGAAATTTAGAAATGATTAAAAACATTTCAAACAATTTTGGATTGTTATTCGATCATTTTAGAGTAGTTTTATATGGTTAACCCAACTCCCGACGTCATCAAAACCACAGTTAATGAGGTAAAGAATTTTTCCAAGATGGCGGAAAGCTCATTAATTTCGGTCTAAATATTTCGAGAACTAAGCAAGATAATTATGACAAATCGGTAATAGAATTTAATATATAATTTCAAGAGTTCTTTTGAATGAGACAAACTAATTTTTTATTGCCAATGTCCTTTAAAAGTCTCTCTAAAAGGTCAAAATTTCCCCAGTTTAAGGAAATTTCCTTAAAAATGAGAGCCCTGGACTCTCAAATTTCAACTCTTAACCTGCGAACGGGCCTACTCATTACGGGCTGTATGGCCTGCGGAGGAAGTAGTGACATTCAGTCTTTCTCAACAGGGGCCAGTTCGCGTCGATCCCGAGCGATCGACGGCTCGAAATTTCATACTTTCGGTTCAGTGCATGCTATGAAGACAGAAATACCACCATTCGATTCAGAAATAAAATATCAACTAGTTCCAAACGATAGTTATAGTCATTATTAGTATTGTAACGATTTATGGGCCTTTGAAAGTCAAAACGATCATATTGTATCAAATTACGCAATTGTCTAAACAAAAATACAGATTATTATAGACTAGCCATACCTTTCGCCGAAAATAACTTCGGCCCCATCGAACATATCGTCTTTGTAATAGTCTTGTTCGAATCCCCATTAAATAGTGTTTTTGGAGTGTTATTTGCAACCCTGACTGTACAAATCTGTATCTTTTATCAATATATTTCCATTTCTTGTCCGACTGTGAGCTCGAAGTGAATTAATCCCAACCGGAAATACGACCAAAAACCGTCAAAACAATGCGGCGTTTGTATCGTATGACCCTGGAAAGGCCAGAAATGGTTCGCAAGGTCAAATTGCACCTACACGCGTGAGTTTGACGTCATCCCGGCCAAAGGAGCTTCTTATTGGCCAATTATTGCGCAATGTACGCAAGTGCGAGTAAAATCCGATATCTTGAAAAATTCAAAATAAATATTTCTAGTCGGCGTATACATACGAAACTTTCTACACGAAAGCGCTTGAATACAGAGAGTATTTTACACGTATAGCCGTTTAGCAAATGACAAAAAGTTCAAGGGGTATTCAAGATCTTGTGGATGTGAAATTTAGAATCTTTGGCCAAGCGGTGAGTAAATATATGATTGTTTCGCTTTGTGTAATGTTTTGACGGCACTTGACCCCCCGTTCGAAAAGTTATTTTATGAGGATTTCAATGGTGGCATTTATTTAAAAGGGGGGTAAATACTCGCCGAGATATTTATATTAGAAAAATTGAATCGAAATGTAATGCGAAACCGGCCTGTCGGGAAAGAGATATTATTAATTAATTAAATTAATTAAGAACCAATAATTTATTAATTTCAATAAGACTACAAACGAAGGGGTAGGTATTTTTCGAGTTAAGCCCTTCGAGTTAAGCCCTCCGAGTTAAGCCCTTTTCGAGTTAAGCCACTGCTACGCCCTTTTTCGCTGAGAGCTTAACTCGAAGTCAATTAACGATTTAAGCGTTCGAGTTAAGCCCAGACATTTGGTGGATGTAAGCAAGTGACGCGTGTATACTCGCAAAAATATTGGCAAATATATGTAAGGAGAAAAATACCTACCCCCAAACGAATTATGATATTCAAGTCAGATGTGTACACATGTAAGTACTGTAGCTAGAATATGAACAGCCAGTCTGTGTGGGTGCTTAAAAATTTCCTTTATTTGTTATAATTGGTGCGATATATATCACGTACGACATCAGTCATTAGCGTGATATAAAAAGTGATTCGGGGGTGGAAGGAAAATGCTTTTCCTTTAAGTTTCAATATTCCTACCCGAATTATTCTTAAAATACTAGGGAGGAGCGGTATTGGTGCATTCACATTTTGTTTCATATATTCACATTCCTATACTCGATCCTGATATTCATTGTCATAGATGTTCATATTCCTACTATAAATATTTATATTCCTATTGTTCAAACTATAATCCAATATTCAATACCCAATACTCCTTTTCCACCCCTGAAAATTACTGTTGATAGCGTTTCTATCCAATTCACCACTTTTGATGACAATTACTTCTGTTCTATTTCACGAGTATTTCTGTTCTTCCCTCTATCGGTATAGAAATCATATCTTTTGTTGTAAAACGTGCCTTGTTACACCTTTGGGAATTTATTATAGCTTCTAAAACGAACAGCAAACCAAAAATGTAAAATTACAAATTCAATACAGTCATTTCGCTAAAGAATGCATTTATGTACAATTCATTTAAATTCCCAAAGGCATAACAACAGATCTTTCCCCTTTTGAGTGAAATTTTGATCTAGACAAGTCTGGACAAAATTTCATCACAGCTTGAAAGAGTGTCACAAAATTAGTAATATTCCGAAGTTTCGTTGCGAAATGTTGTAAAATGCGGTTTTTCAGTCATTTTGTATTACAAATGGGAAATTGATAATCAGTTTGATCATCAGTTTGTACTATAAATATTGCGCCAAATTAACACGTGTGATTTTTCATTAATACTTCGAGAACAAGTGTAATTTCCTATTAATATCATTTTATATTCAATTTTACACGAGCAATCAATGAGCACAGTCATACGGCGACCTCTGCATGTGGTCAATTTTGAGAGCACTTTCCGGACATTAATTTTCAATTCATACCTATAAAAACTGTAATAACCTTTGTTTCTTCTTTTTCTTTGTTATGAAAGCATAAATAAGAGCTCAGAAAATGTACATTTTCAACTAAAGTTGTTTATTTTTAAGTTGACATTTTGTTTTTAATGCACGCATGATCCACGCGGGTTCGTATCCGTGCCGATTAATCTTTAATCGGCACACCTGTGCGATTAATGTTTAATCCGCACGGTTTATAACCAATCAGAATCGAGTAAATTGACTAAAATGATATTAACAACAAAAGAGCTGATTTCTAAAGAGGGTACTTACTTTTTTTGGGACACCCTGTAGTTCAAGAGAACAACAGTGCCTAATATAGCTATCAGCACAATAGATGTCTGCTTATTCCCGACATGCGATATTGCCAAACTATTCGATTTCGTGTAAGACACCATGATCGTATATTTACAATGACTAATACCTGTCAACGCAATTTATCATAGCGAGCCATTTAAAACCAGCAAAGGAAAATGATTAGCGGAATGAAACTTGGGCCATGTTTCGTCGAAATGGTGTTTTGTGAAGAAAATCAATTACTTTGGAATGTATCTTTATACTACGATTGGAATGAGGACAGTCTTTCAGTATTTTCTGGAACAGCCTGTTATCACGTCTATAGTGCACAATGCAAATATAGTGCGCAATTATAGTGTTAATTATACGACAACTATTATATAAAAATGGTAGAAATCTCCGCCTTCAAGAAGGATTTAGACATAATATCTGACATATTTGTTTCAATAAGAACGCGACACGCAGACAACACTGGTAATTTACAATAGAGAGGTTCAGACTTGACTTGCACTAGCAATGCGTCTCACTGGCATTATTACGCATTTGATCATCGGCCACTCGGATAGATTAAACGGATCTGATTGGTTCTAGCTGTGTAACTGTTGACGTCAAAATCCAAACCTTTCTACCATACCTGTATACAACTGATTTTAAAATTTTGTCCTATATATATAGCCATTTTAAGTAATCTTTTCAAATGCAATGAAGAAATTTTGTGTCATACGCACTTTAAAGAGTACATTAGTATTGTTTTTCGATTTCAGTGCAAATTTAGCAGTGCAAATGTAATTATCTTGTGTATTTACGCAAAGTGTAAAAACCGTAAGTGATGTTAAATAAAGTTCACAAGAGTAAATTAGTACGCTAATGTTTGACGATGATAGCAACTAACAAGAAGTGCCTTATACTTATGCTAATCTTAATACTAAATATGCCCGCTACCAATCGGTGGTGATGGATTCGGCTCCAGGTTATGGTGGGACTGGACTATCTTAGCCCCCATAACCAGAAATTTCTCCATCACTTCTACGACAAATCCACCTTTTCTGCACCGGGATGTGTACAATACATACCAACCCTAAAATGTCCTCAAACCTGACACGAAGTTAGTGCGGACACAGAATATTCCCCAAACAACCCACGCGACAGCTCTGGGGCACTACAACTAAATGGAAAGGTTAGGGTAGACAAGGTACAGCCACTAGCAAGGCAAGTGACGACAAACAGAAAAGATAATAAATAACGTGGGAAGGGAAGGTGGGGAAACGTTGAGAGCAACTGATAGCCAGGTTTCTAATTCACTAACTATTTTAAACGCTTGCCGGTTACCGGGGTTCGTCGATAATATATCTAGCGAAGGGAATCAACTCCCACTGTTACCTTGCCATTACCTTATAAACCCATTAAATTAAAACTTTATTTAAATTCATCATTAGTGTTGTACAATATACCAAGCTATTTTTATATCAATTGCTTTGGAATGTATCTTTGTGCTACAATAATATTGCAATGAGGACAGTCTTTCAGTATTGTGTCTGGTACAGCCTGTGATCACGTCTCAACAACAAACATAGTGCACAATTATAGTGTTAATTATACGACAACTATTATATAAGAATATAAAGAAATCTCCGCCTACAAACATAATTTGGACATATCTGACATATTTTCTTCAATAAGAACGCGATACGCAGATAACACTCGTAATTTACAATATGGAGGTTCAGATTTGGCTTGCACTAGCAATACCTCTCACTGGCATTATTACGCATTTGATTGGTGGTCATTGGCCACTCGGTAGATTAAACGGAACTGATTGGTTCTAGCGGTATACCTGTGGACCTCAAAATCCAAACCTCTCTACCATACCTATAGTCATTTTTAAGTAATCTTTGCAATGCGATGAAGAAAACATTGGGTCAAATTTCGTGTCATTCGTACTTTAAAGAGTATGTTTAATTTAATTTAATATTGTTTTTAGATTTCGGTGCAAATTTAGCAGTGCTATTAGTATAAATTATCTTCTGTATTTACGCACAGCAAGTGTAAAAACAGTAAGTAATGTTAAATAAATTTCACAAGAGTACAATCGAGTGTTAAGACAGTTTGACGATGATAACAACTAATAATAAGAAGCGCCTTATACTTATGCTAATTACATTAATTATGCGCGCGGACCAGGAACTGAATCTATCCCCGCTGATCGGCATGGTGCGACTGGACCATCTTAGCCCCAATAACCAGGCGAGGATTCATAGATATTTCTTTAACCAATGGACCTCCTCCATCCCATCTACGACAAGTCAACCTTTCTGCACAGGGATGTGTACAATACGTATAAACACGAATTGCTCATTAAAATGTCCTCAAACCTGACACGAAGATAATGTGGATACAGAATATCCCCCAAACAACCCGCCCGACAGCTCCAGAGCACTACAACCAAGTGAAAAGTTTAGGTTAAACAAGGTAGAGACACTATAGTAAGGCAAGACGAACGAAAACGAGAAGAAGAGAGGGTGGGAAAAAGTTGAGAGCAACTGAAAGCCAGGCTTCCAATACACTAGCTACTTTTACCGAGGTTCTGGCCCCGGAGAAATCGCCGAGACAATATTTAGCGAACCGAATCAACCCCCACTGTTAACTTGCTTTTATTGTTATAATACCCATTAAAACTTTATTTAGATTTTCCATTAGTGTTGTACAATGTACCGCGAGCTATTTTTAAATGCCTATATTGTGGAAATATTTTCCTCAATAAGAAAAACGTTTTGTTATTTCCATTAATTGTGGTCCGGAATACATCTGTTTTTTTCCTTCTTGATAGCTATAAATAACAAATAGGGGAGCAACTACCTGAAAAATATAAGGAGAAGTTCGACGTTTCGAAGGTCATTCGTCTGGAGTTACTAGCGGGGTTCGGGAATATATAAATGGGTTTAGTCAAAACAAAGTGTAAACAAAAAAATTAAATCGCATTACAGAATACAAACATATTTTGAAAACTACAGCAAATAGCTACAACAAAACATATGAGACATGCACGGAATAAGCTTCCAAAAAAGGTGTAGAACTCCAGCTTCAAGTATGAAGGCCACTGTCAAAGTACAAGGCCTTAAACGTAGCTTGGGCCAAATGAAAATCTCTTCGTTCTTTGATTGGAAGCCATCCCAATTTCAAGACATTCAATTAATTTAGTGGCATATCTTCCGACAACAAAACCAGCAGCCGCACACTGCACACGCTGAAGACTTTTCATGACAGATATTCAGGAATTGGATGGCTCACCATATCATTATAATCCAGATTTGATGGCACTAGACACTCAGATAACTGCTTTCTGATTTTGTAAGGGGCAAGATCTTCAGTTTTCTTAGTACGGATAAGGTTTTGTAACAGCTGATTATTTTTTACTTATTTCATTTGTCCAAGTTAAATGATGATGCAATTGGGTACCTATCAATCGAGCGCTATCAAGTCGTTCGAGTTCGTTTCCGCCTATACGCAGGCCAGTGACCAGCTGTTTTGTCTTGCTTCGTCACTGACTTGTTGCGCATGGAAAGCAAATTGTATATAACTTACAGAAAACGATGACTCTTGCCACTTTTAACAAAAATTATGTAGCTCTTGTTTCTATAGTAACCAGAATGCTGGAATACTTCTGACATTTTGGTTATGAATTAATTTAACCGAAAAAATATATCTGAGTCCAGATATTCATGGAAGAATGAATTGCCAGAGGTAGAAGGCGCATGCACTACCAATTAACTGTTTCACGAACATCGCTTTCGTAACTCTGTTTCTTATTTTTTTAATATCCTGTCTCTTTTCATAATTTCACTTTTATTTTTTGTAGATGTTGATATTTGCATTCCTCGTGTTTGCAGCGCTCGTTCTTCACAGCAGTTCAAGTAAGATTCTTTAGTATAGGCTATATTTCTGAGTCATACACTTGCCACAAGGGACATTTCCCATAAAAATATTCTGAGAGATAATAATAAATATTTGACAAACGATCAAATTTAGAGCGATCTGTTATCCACAAAACAGCCTAGTTATTATATATGCTGTCCATCTGCGAGGCGCAAAAACGACAAGACTATCAAATATATTTTCTTCATATAGCCTTGTGTTCAATCTAGAAGATGTAGTAGAAAAATATATCAAGCGATCGGCCCGACTGCCTTTACTTTATATTTACTTATCTACACATTTACCTTAATATTTTCTGTTTTTAGATGTTTGTAATATCCCTGTAGTTGTCTACTATGGTCCTAGTGCAATAAATTACCGAGTAACCGTTAATAACATGACAACCTCGGGACGTCTTGTTAGCGGAGGAGCGGAAGACATGGACTACGACCGTTTCTCCCGACGTTTGTTCTCCTATGTGTCAGGCAACGTGTACAGCATTGAACAAGATGGTTCAGATTTAAGAGACATAGCAGCAGCAGGAAATGTTGAGAGGTTCACTGTGGATGGACGAAACAATATCATCTATTACATCAATGATTTAACTGACACTGTTTACAAGTTTAATATGACAAACTCAGTCGAGACTGATCTTGGTATACGTGCCAAGGGCATTGACATGGACAGCGTAAATAAGTAAGTCTATACTGCTAACTATCAAGACAAATCAGAAATATTTTGATCCAGGTGCTACAAAGTGCCCTGGTCGCCCTAAACAACTGTCCTAGCTGACGCTGGATTTGATGAATAATATGCAATTTGGCATTTGAATTAAGTCAGGTTCTAGATTTCGAAAACTAATAATACTTCAAAAACTAATTTGTTTTCAATTCATTCACTTGATTTAAAACGTGAAGTCGAATTGAAATTATCTTCTGCCAATTTTGCGTCTAATGTATATACTTCAGTTGTAATACTTGGAATATGGTAATAGGTTTGACAATTTATTTATAGCTTGTCTCAATCTCAAATAAGATTTTGAATTTTTGTGTTGTGACATAGCTAGTTGTGCTTGAGATGGCAGCTCAAAGAACTTGAAACTTGAAAGAAGGAAGTGCAGGATCTCAGAAGTGATTAAACGAAATCAAATGAAATCTGGTACAGATAGTAAGTGTAGTTAAGGAACATTTTGGAACGTTTATGATTACAAGGTCTCTGTTCCTATTTATTCAATTCGTTGCTTTCAACAATGACGAAAGGAATTTCGGGGATTTTTCCTTTTTTGATGCTGTCGTGATTATAACATATTGAACTGAACAAAATTTTCTACGTCGTTTCTACGTCAAGATTTTCTACGTCTTATTATCGTACAAACTTTTCCAAGTGTCTACGGCAGACATTATTAAAATAGGAAGTGAGAGACTTTCCAACTTGTGTGTTGCTATGACAACCACATAAATGTTCCAAAATATTTGCTTAGGTGCACTTACTAACTTTACCAAACTTGATTTAATTCAGTTGAATCAATCGTGAGATATTAGACATTCTCTCTTTGCTGCCATCTGGCATAAATTGTGACGTCATAACACAAATATACAAAATTCCAGATAACTTGCGAATAAGATGAGCAGGGAATGAATTGTTCAAGCCATTCTTTATCATTTTCAAAACTTTCAAGTGATGCATAAAATACTGGGGACAAAGATTTCGAGTCATGTGCATTTTAATATACGACATAGAGTAATTGATATAAATTAAATAAGGAACCGGTACCGTTCCAACCAATCCTTTGAACAGGAATTTCTGAAGTAAATTCTTTGTCTTCGTGATCGGCACTGTATAACATATATTACGCTGTGATCTATATAAGATATTGTATCAAAGTGTTAACTTACTGAAGAAATAAAAACGACTAGTGTGCTGAATCTACCAGTTTAATATCCGCTCACGTTTCTTGTATCCTTTTCTTCTAGTTACCTGGTTATTGTCAATACAGGTAGTGGTAGCAACATAGAGCGTTACAATGTTGAGACAGAAATGTTGGATGTAATCAAATCAGGAGGTGACTTTCCTCAGGATGTTTCTGTCGATGCTGATAATGGTGTAGTTTACTGGGTGGACGTCATAGATGATGGTTCTACGTTTAAAGTCATGAGAACCTCATATGCTGGTGAAACAAAAGACTTGAATATTACTTATCCTGACACAATCGAAATAGCTCTGGATGAACTTTACTTATATGTTCTGGTTGTTTCAAATGAGACAATCTATAAATATAAAAAAAGCACATGGGAGCAAATGGGAAGTATTGTTGTTCCTAGTGGTACAAGTGGAATTGAAGTTGCATTTGGTGAGTATCAGAGCTGAGTCGCTGTGTCAATAAAATTAATTATATTTTCAGGCAGAAAACATGTTTATTGTACTCCTGTCCTAATCTGTTTGACTAATTGTTCGGCAAGAGTGCATTAAATGGGCATAAATACTTATGTGACATGCGGAATGAACATGCCATTTGCCATTATTTTTAATGAAGTCCAAGTATTCATGTTTTGATTTGATGGGAACAAAGACGACCACTTTATGTATACTCTTTTCAACTGTTACTCTGTTAGGTGGAAGTCTGAAATAGTATGCAAAGTAAAGTAGTTCTAGTAAATGAAACACAACTAGCGAGCATAGATATAAATATGACAGGGACAGTAAACATATGTATTTAGAGAGATAGGTCTACAAATAAATACATTCAAAAATTCTGAAATTCTGAAAGGAAGGACAGCAAGTCATTATTTTTTCAGTGGCAAAGTCTAAAATTCATTAATAATCGTATAAGCGCACTGCCTCGTACCCAGGCGCTTTAAATAATTATAATACATGAACTATTAAGGTAGGTAGGCGACGCGCGAAGGGTCTGTCGGGAAGGATGCGTGCTGGGGAGCGTCCGGCAGTTCTTGTATACTGTCATGACGGGAAAACATGGAATTTAATACAAAAAGTTACCATATCGTCATATACTCTGTGTGTAAAATTGAAACTTAAACCTGTAAGTTGAAGTTTGACGTAGATTCTACGAAATATTGGTTATTTAGCTAAGGAGTCACGTGAGATATGCGCGCGAAGCAAGCTAGATCACACTTTAAAGCAGAAGGGTCATGACATCACAACCTGGGAGGGAGATTGTGCAATACAATGTGTAGGTCATATCCCAACACTGGGAGGGAAGGTTGACTCCTTAGCTCAATAACCAATATTTCGTAGAATCTCCTAAACTTCAACCTACAGGTAATTAAGTCTCGTTTAACTTTCAATTCTACTTCATGATTGGTTATTTTCGCTAAGGAGACACGTGATACTTCAAAGCGTCATGACCCGTAGAAGCAAAATCACAACAGTGAAGCTCAATCAATGTGAATGATATAGTGAAAATATTAAATCAGCCATAATTGTGGTATAGTAAGACAGAAACTACAAATAAACAGTTACTGAGTTAGTTCAAGAGTTTTGACTCATGATGGCAGACAATAGGTCTTCGCCGTAGTTCTTTGTCATATCTACAATAGTTTTGTTGTAGAACTTACTAAAGGTGGTCTCATTAGTCCACCCTGCGGCAGCAAGGATTTTGTTGGTATCAATATGCCTCCTATGCGCTGCTGAAGTGGAAGCCGCCCTGGTGCTATGAGCACCATATATCTCTGTGTTTATTCCAGCTTTGTGCATAACAGTTTTAATCCACCTCGCAAGAGTGTCGGTTAAAACAGGATTGTGTGGTTTCCGGAAGCTCACAAACAATTGGGTATGTTTACCTCTCTCAAGCCGCTGACTTGTTGTAATTGCGAACAGCATAGACAGTTTGAGTGACAAAAACTTAAGTCAACTGTCTTCAAGTTTCCATTCTTCAAGAACTTTAAGCACGACAGAGATATCCCAGGTATCTTGATATTTAGGAAGTGATGGTCTCAGTTCGAATACACTTTTAAGGAGTCGTGTTGCAAGTGGATGAGAACCATACTGACATTTCCTGGTAGGAGAAGGAAAGAGGATAACGCACTCCGTGCAGTATTCATTGCGCTGCAACCGACGCCGGATTCAAACAGGGATGATAAAAAATTTATTCCATCTGATATAGTGGGATGAATTGGATCAATTTTCCTCTTGTTACAGTAAAGTTCCCATTTCTGGAGGTAAGATCTATATTGTTTGGCAGTCCCTTGTCTCCAAGATTGAACAATAATGTTGGAAGCACCTGCTGAAATGCCTTGTTCTTCAAGGAATTTCCAGACAAGTGGCAGATTATTAGCTCTAGATGCGGATACAGTGGATGTATTGTTTCCGGATTGCTCGGGAGGATCAGTGTCGTCTTTGGTTTCGGTAATAGTATTGGTTGAGCTATTAGTTGACTCATTAGTTTTGACCTCCATGTCTGTGTTGGCCATCTTGCGTTTACCACAACAACAGTGCACTGTTCCTCCTGGACTTTCTATAAAATTCTAGAAATGAGACAGAACGGTGGAAATATATAAGGTTTATAGCTCTTCCATGACATATGGAAAGCATTTACAGCTATAGCTCCGGGATCTGGATGGAAAGACACATATGGTTCTATTTGGTAATTTATTCTTGAAGCAAACAGATCTATATCGGGTGTTACCCCTAATCTAGATATTGCATCATTAAATATCTGTTTATTGAGTGACCACTCAGCACTAGTGTTGGTGATTCTAAACTGATGGTCAGCTTCAACATTTTCTACCCCAGGAATGTGAACAGCTGTAAGCCAAATATGTCTTGCACGACACCAGAGCCACATAGATTTGCTAAGTGCATTTCGTAAATCTGACTTACTGGTACCCATGTGATTAATATCAGATAGTGCAGTCATATTATCAATCATAACTTTTACATGTTTTCCTGCTAAAGAGTTTGCAAAGGTTTTCAGTGACAAGAATACAGCTAACAACTCTAGATAGTTTAAATGATGTTGTGCCTCATCTTTGGTCCAGTTTCCCCCTGTCCTAGTTTCGCCCAGGGTACAACCCCAACCTGTAGAAGAGGCATCTGTGGTTAATACAATAGCTGGTTGCCCATGGCTAACAACATTATAGCTGTCTGGGGAAGAGTTGACCCACCAGGTCAACTCCTCTCTAGCCTCATTATTTAATGTCATTAGAGAGTAAAAATTGCCTTTGTTGACCTTAAGGACTTGCGATTTCACTCCTTAGGTGTCGAAAATAGAGTGCTCCTAGCATGACTCCTGGGAAAGTAGAAATTATATATCCCAGGACTTGGGAGACCTCTCTGGTGGTCGGCGATGTGTTCTTTAATAGTTTAGAGCACATCTCAATGACATTAGTTACTTTCTCAGGTGTCATATAAACTCTAATTAGAGTTGAATCAAGTATAAATCCAAAAAATATTAGTCTCTGTGTTGGGATAAGCACAGATTTTTCAGGGTGAATAACAAACCCTAGTGTGAATATCAGTCGGACAGTGTCTATAACATTTTCTAGACAGTTGACATAGTCATCCCCTTGTAGATACGAATCATCAACGTATGGGGGCGAAATGTGTCCCAGTTTTATCAAAACTACATACACTGGTTTCACTGGTTTAAGAAGTTTTGTGAATTTCCGTGCGCAACTAGCAAGCCCGTTTGGGAAGCATGTAAATGCGTATAGTGAACCTTCCCATGCAAATTTTAGATATTTTTGATGTGGCTTGGCAATAGGGTCCGAATAATACGCGTCCTTAAGATCCACTGACGCCATAAAACAATTAGGGGTCATAAACCTCGGATAGTATCAATGAGTGTTTCCATTTTAAAATGGTGGTATTCTACATGCTGGTTAAGATCTTTCAGATTTAAAATCCTTCGACTTGTGCCGTCCTTTTTGGAGCGTACAAAAATTGGAGATATGAATTCTCCAGGTTCATGTTGTGCACGAACAATTACAGCTTTGTGAAGTAGTTTCACAATTTCAGCCCGTATGACAGCCTGTTCGGCTTCCGTACACTTGGATAGTAACCTTGGACAGTTTTGAAGCGGCGTGGTGTCGAATTCTATACGTTGGCCGCTCACTATATCTAAAATCTCTCGATCGAAACTAATTTTTCCCACTCATGATAAAAATGAGCAAGACGACCACCACGAAAGTGGCTTATTTGCATGTGAAAATGCTCCTTCAACACCGGTAAAAACGTTAAAAATTCGTTTACCTTAACTTTAGATAGATGTGTTATTATATCCTCGTCGATGGCAGTCACTTCTTGTTGAACTTGTTGCCCCCTTCCCGCTTTTTCTGATGACTGGGGAATCTGTTGTTCGACCAACGCGGGTTGGGGCCTTTGGATAAAAAAGACTTTTCACGATCATTTCTTGGATGCCGCTGAAAAGTCGATTTGTTGTGACTGCCAAAATGTCCAGTCGTGGACTGGGTGGCCGTTTGGCTAATTCGATTCGACGCTCGAATTGCATTTAGTTTGCTTTGTAATTCATCGCCAAACAACATCGATGTTACCGATGTTTGGGAAGAGCACAATGAAGCATACTCTTTAATATTCGAGCTGGGTTTCATCGTTTCGCGACGACGGAGTGAAAGGTCATAATTTGTATGCCCCAGGAGAGCAAGGGCATCCACTTGAAGTGTGAGAACTTCGTTCATGGTGTTGTTTTCGCCGCCTTCATGGCGGGCTTTCATAAGCAGTTGAGCAGACTGTGTGAGAGCTGTGCCAACTGCCAACAAGGTTTTTTGGATAGCGACAAGTTTAAGGTCTTGTCGTTGGCCCGTGTTTGAGATTCGGGACCAAATTTCGGGATTTACCTTGGGGGCAAACAATCGTTCGCAGTTCTCTGGTGGGTCATATTTCGCTATTTTTCTTTGAATTTGTCGTCCGATAATTTTGACGACCATCTCTTATTTACGATATCAGCCAGCTGAGTTGAGACCGGACCACTTGTTTTATCGTCAGCCGAATACTCAAGGGCTAACGTTGTGAGGAATGCATCTTCCTCGTCGCCATCTTTAGTTTCGGCTGATTCGGTCTCTTGCTCTGAAGGATGGTCGTCGATCAGGGCATCAACATCACTCCCTTCTTGATCACTCGACCTCCTTTTCTTGCTGCTCAAAGTCAAAGACTCTGCTGACTCCACCGCCCGAGAATCTTGTTTGGCAGTAGCGGTTGGAGTTTGTTTTATTTTGCGGATTTCTTGACTCATATTTGACATGTTGTTCGCCAAAGTAGCCATATGAGCATCGATAGATCGAAGGACATTCTTTATGGTCGGATCATCATCTTCAGTAGTTGATAGATCGTCCCCTTTTAGCAGTTCATTTTCTATCTCGGTCTCGTCTTTTCCCGCCATTTGTTTGATAAAATTTTGCTACGTGTGTTCTTCGCAACGTTTCGCTTGCAAGTGATCTAGCTTGCTTCGCGCGCATATCTCACGTGACTCCTTAACGAAAATAACCAATCGTGAAGTAGAACCTTACTTTTTAGTGGGGAGTCAAATTGAACGCCATTGGCAAATAATAAAAAAAATTGTAGATGTTTGATGACATGCAAAATGCGCGAAAACTTATGAGTAAATTACATATGGCAAGTTAACCATCCCAATATTTCGAATATATAATGTCATTCGGTATTATATGGAGAATAATGGAATGCTATCAGTTGCTTAGTATAAAATAGTAACAGAGAAATGATTAGAGAGTCATATAATTGCTTTTGTATTAATAATTTCTTTAGCTGAAGGCTCGATCACAATGCCAATGGCAATTTCTAATTTTCTGTTACATGTATACTGTAAACAATAGCCCAAGTAAATAAAAGTTCACAACCGTAAAGTTTGAAATATTTATTACAACAGTGCAATTTAATTCATAGTATGTGTGCCTTTATATAGTTATAGCTTACAAATCTACTTCCTGCTGTGCAAGTCTAGTTCTTGAAAGCTTCGGTTGTTGACATGTTAATATTCCAGGACTTTAAATAAGGCTTATGTCATATATACCAAGAATAACAGCATGAATTCACGCCCAGATGACAGAAGAATATCAACATTGGTCAATACAATAAAAACAAAGTAGCAAAAAATCGTAAACGACAACGAAATATCACAACTTGCAAGAAATCGTACTTTGTTGCAAGAAATCGACCAAGAACTACCAGGCGTCTCGCATTTCAAGTACACTCTTCCCATCAGCCCCTTCGCCCATCTCTCCCCACTACAATACTTCATGTAAACTCGTCACATGCGCATCACTGTTTTTTTACAAAGAGATGCCTGGGTACGAGGCAGGTAAGCGTATGTGCATGGGTGGTCATCTCACTGATCTCAAAAATTTCGTTGTTTGCCTGGAGTGGGATAAGCGAGAATTCAATTTTCGAAAACATATATTTATTATTATTATTATTATTATTATTATTATCATTATTATTATTATTATTATTATTATTATTATTATTATTATTATTATTATTATTATTATATTATTATTATTATTATTATTATTATTATTATTATTATTATTATTATTATTATTATTATTATTATTAATGGTTTATTTGCATATTATCGCATTGAAAATGAATTACAATATGCTTACATGGAAATATACTAAAATTTACAAAAATTCTAAAATATGAATTACTATATCTAATATAAATGTTAAAACCTAATATACAAGTTAAGACCATAAAGGCCGATACGTCAATTTGACTATAGCACATTGCCGGGATAAAACTGTTCTTAAACCTCTCAGTTCTACATTAGGGAAACGATAATTGATTATTATTTCTCAAACTCCGTCCATGGACGTTTCCGCGAGTTGATGGCAACAAGTGGTACAGTTTCGAGCAAGGCTTAGCAATCTTTTGTAAGTTATTCTGACATATTGACTGCCTTCTATAATCAAGGCGAGAAAACGACTGATAGATAATGCTTCCGCATAATCAGTGAAAGGGTACAGTATTCGCAGAGCACGTTTATGCACCCGTTCAATTTTGTCGGAAAGATACTGAGGTAGGCTGGTATGCCAGACTGCGCAAGCATATTCCAAAACAGATCTGATTAAGGCGTTATAGATTGAGAGCAAGTCAGCGGATGGAATTGCAGATCGACGCAACACCCGAAGGATGTAAAGGTGTTTCGACGCTTTTTTACGGTAATTGCAACGTTATCATTCCATTTAATAAGGTGATTATTAATAGATAATTTCCGCATTTATGGAAATGAGTTTTCAACAGCAAAAATAGTTTACGTTCGGAAACATGGAATCAGTCAGAATATTCTGAACAAGGAGTGGACGACTCACCGCCAACACGAGGGCTTGAATTTTATGTGAGACATGCATGGATCTACACTGTATATTATGTAGTAAAAGAACATGCTGCCAAGTACTGTAACTGTAAGTACAGTAGCTATAGCCATGTTTACACTACGAGCCTAAGCCTGACCTAGGCCTAGCTTTGGACTAGATTTTTGTAGTGTAAACACACTTTGGCCTGGCTTAGGCCAGGAAGTATGGGCCACCTGACTGTTGTCTTTATACATATTTCGATATTTAAAATTATAGTACCATGCAGGGCCGTATTAACTAGACGCGATAATTCGGGGGTGAATTCATATAATCAAAATAAATCCGTCAGGCAAAACACGAATATATGAATATTTACCCCCTCCCCAATTATCGCGTCTAGTTACGGCCCTGTTTAGTACAGTGTATGGGGTACGAAATATTTTAGGAATATTTGAATGGGACTCGAAATTTTTCCCTTACGTTTGTGAGGGTTGTTAAATTTTTTTTAAAAATCCGGGGCTACCCTCCACCCCGGGGTTGTAGATACTTTATGACCGGTCCCTTACGAAGCGTTTCAATTTAAATTTTACACTAAATTAAATCTATAAAAGTAGTTGCTACACGTTATAGAAAACACATTAGACCATTCATTACTTCACATAACAACATTGCTGGACTACAAGTCAACACACAGTCTTCGGCAAAATCGATTTGGTTGACTGAACATTTCAAAACATTTTACGAAGCGTTTCAATTTAAATTTTACACTAAATTAAATCTATAAAAGTAGTTGCACTCAATCTGGATAATTTTAGATGGGAAAGATTTAAACAAGTGAGATAAAAATAATAAAGATACTGACAAGAAATAGGTTAACTGTATTTTTGTGTTAATAGATGAAGATGAATGTTGTATTGGTACATTTTGTCATGAACAGTCTACTTGTGTAAATTCTCTTGGCAACTTCACATGCATATGCAACAGTGGATATTCTGGGAATGGAACATTATGTGAAGGTATAATCATAAATAGTCCTTTACAAATAAATTACTGCTGATATTGCATAATCACAGGCATCCCTTGCAAGGTAACATACATGTGCATTGTTGGGGTATATTTGTATTTTTATATTAGCTTACTATGACAGAATATTATATATTGTCAAAAAATGCTAAAATATTGTATTAAATTGAGAAATAATATTGGTCACCACTACTGCAATGTGTAATCGACGTACGTTTCTGGGTTGAATTGGGGGTGATTCAATCCTCTTGAGATACGTATACTTAATAAGGAGAGAGAACAGTGAAGGCAGGGTACTTCCGCTCCAATTATCCCGAATTAGTCGCATCGACGTCACAAATCGTTCCCGCGTCGCTACTGTAACGCTCGAATTGCCAAAACATAACAGTAAATTATTAATTATTGTCGAATTCGCGAGCTCTCAACAGAATATGTCAGGGTATGCATGAGGAGTCACGCTGTTTAAGATCGAACATTTTATGGATTTTTACGGGTAAACAAGACGCCTGCTCAGGCGTTCACACTGACCTGCTTAAAAATGAGGACGTACGCGCTATGGTGTGATAGACAAGGGAGTGGGGAGGAAGAGAGTTCGTAGAACAGTTTGAGCGGCTGATACCGTAGATTTATCCAGAGAAAATCAATATTTCGACAACAAAAACCAGAAAGCAACACACATCTCCAATGAGGATGACGGCATACCAAACGAGTCCCTTGCATGAGAATCATATACCTTCAATAAACCATTGGAATCCGTAAAGATAGATACAGTATTATGTTCAATTGTCAAAATAAATTAAATGTTTCTTGCGTAACTGCTCTAAAGCAGAATCTAAAGGCATGACAAATGGAATACTTTCATTCGCAGTAGATTAGCAGTGTAACTCTCACTGAACTCAAATGAATAATCAGTATCTTCAATCGTTACCATTGTGGGTAGTTCCGTAAGTAATAAATAACTTTGTCTTGATATTCTTGATAACATGGAATATAATTCATTGCCCAAGTTCATAATGTTAACTAAAGCACTTGTGTCTAATATAGAATCATTGCCATGTACATATATAAAGGAACATAAACTGATAGCGACACATTGTCGACCTGCATTTTCGCCAAAGACATCAACATTACCTTGACTATAAGGAGCATGTATAGTTTTACCAGGATTAACAAAGGTAGTTCCAGGGTTGACTTCAATGTCTCCACTTAATTAAATCTTTTGCATCACAACCCAGTTATATCGATGTTGAGAGATCGATGGCGAGAAATTTCATATCTTCGGTTCTGTGCATGCTATGAAGACAGAAATACCACCATTCGATTCAAAAATAAAAGATTTAACTAATTCTTTCGTATAGTTTTAGTCATTATCAACATTGTAGCGATTTATGGGCCTTTGAAAGTCAAACACGATCATATTGTATCAAATTACGCAATTGTCTGAACAAAATATAGACTAGCCATACCTTTCGCCGAAAATAACTTCGGCCCCTTCGAACATATCGTCTTTGTAATAGTCTTGTTAGAATCCCCATTACAAACACTATCTAAAGTGTTATTTGCAAGCCTGTACTTCAAATCTGTAACTTTTATCAATATATTTCCATTTCTTGTCCGACTGTGAGCTCGAAGTGAGTTAATCCCAACACCCTGGAAAGGCCAGAAATGGATTCGCAAGGTCATAGAATAAGAAACGAATAGAAGGGCAACTCGCGTCGGAACCTTTGAAGTTTTTGAAGCCGCGCATGTCGCCTCGCGCATACCGGAAATTGCCCGCTCTAATTACTCGCAGCCAGTAAAGCCAGTCAATTTATTAGAGATTTGTATTGCAAAATGGCCATTTGGCTGAATAAATCGACTATTTTTCGCAAACGAACGATTCAAATTACAAACCACGGCTGCTGGTTGTAATTTGAAGGTTAGTGAATACATTTCTGTTGGTTATGAGCTCTTAAAGAATTGCTAAATGCGAAATTTAATACATGTTGTTTACTTACAAAGTATAAAGTACGGTATATTTTAAACATATGATAGTTTGGTTTATTTATTGGAAAAATTCGATGTATTCGAAGTAATATTGTAGTAATAGGAATGAATGTTAATTTATAATCATGATATTTCAATTACATAGATAAATAACATCATTTTCTGATATTATTTGTATTTGTAGTTCAACATGTCAGACACAGACAGACAACTTCCCGCACGAAATAAATTTGATTAATTGCTCGTGGCTTTGAAATTTATACTTTTTTAAATAAAATTTGATGCAATCCAAAACCTGTACTGATAAGATTTGACATAAACCTCGAAAATCGAAATAAATAACACAGTATACGCGATCGACTGTCGGCATTTCATTCAGATTCGAACTGTAGCTCACACAACAATATCAAATTTCTCCCTAAATAGTCGTTTCTTTCTATGCTAACCACAATAATAATTTAGCCTTACATTGCCTCTACAGGCAGTCGCAGTAGTTTGATATTCCAATCCTTTGTTTCCGAAAAATAGTCGATTTTGTGATCAAAATGTACATTTCGTAATACAAATCCCTATTGCACTGACTGGCTGTGCTTTTACTGGCTGCGCGACTCTGCGAGCTTGAGAATCCCGCGCGTGCGCACTGAAAATTGGTTACGCTTTGTACACGCGAGTTGCCCTTCTATTCATTTCTTATTCTATGGCAAGGTCAAATTGCATCTACACGCGTGAGTTTGACGTCATCCGGGCCACAGGAGCTTCTTATTGGCCAATTATTGCGCAATGTACGCAATTGCGAGTAAAACCCGAACATTTTGAAAAATTCAAAATAAATATTTCTACTCGTCGTATTCAAACGAAATTTTGTACACAAAAGCGCTTGAATACAAAGAGTATTTTACACATATAGCCGTTCCGCAAATGACGAAAAGTTTAAGGGATATTCAAGATTTTGTTGATATGAAATTTAGAATCTTTGGTCAAGCGGTGAGTAAATATATGATTGTTTCGGTTTGTGTAATGTTTTGACGGCACTTGACCCCCCGTTCGAAAGGTTATTTTGTGAGGATTTCAATGGTGGGTTTTATTTAAAAGGGGGGGGGGGTCAATACTCGCCGAGATATTTATACTAGAACGATTGGGTCGTAATATGATGCGAACGACTAAGCTAATTTTACAGTAATTTATCCTGTGGTTTTGATCCTTGTAGGTAGCTTTTTTGTTTTAGTTAGGTTGGAATTAATGTAGGCATTACTATTTCTTTCAATTTTAGTTTTCAGTATCACATTCAAATATAAACATTTGGTATTAAAATCAATACAACTGACATTTAAATTAAAACAGCTGGCATTCAAATCAACATATATATATTTGGCATTCAAATCAGCATATTTGGCATTTAAATCAATACAACTGATATTCAAAATATATAAGTTTGCATTCATTGTATACAAGTTGTCATTCAAATTAATTTAAGTTGGCATTCATAGCTAAGTCGACATTCAAAGGTGACTTGGCATTCAAATGTGACTTGGCATTCAAAGGTGACTTGGCATTCAAAGTTAAGTTGTTACTCAAAGTTAAGTTGGCATTCAAAGTTAAGTTGTTATTCAAAGGTGACTTGGCATTCAAAGTTTACTTGGCATTCAAAGCCAAAGGTGACTTGGCATTCAATGTTAAGTTGGCATTCAAAAATAAGGCCCCGCCAAACAAGGCTTCGCCAAAAGACAACAAGGAGTCATCTAAAGAAAAACAAAAAATAAAATAAGACAGATATACGCTTCAGTGTTTCCTACAGTTCAGCGTTTTCTGTCAACACCGCAGCTGATCATCCCCAAGACAAAGATTTTTTTTAACATTATATTTCTACTAGAGCAGAGGTGGCGGGGGCAAGTGAATATCAAGTAAACGTTTTATCTTGCTTACCCGATTGGACAAGTTGCCTTGCCACAAAAAGCTGAGCATCTTTAAATTTATGTTTTCATTGTCGGATAAATTTTTTATAGTGCATGTACTTGATTCAATTTTTTTGTGGGCCAAAGCTAGATCTGAGGCAGTATAACATAGCCATATAGAGCAGTGGGAGAACGTGTCGACATGTTGTCCATTTAATTTATATCAGTTCTTGAATCCGATTGGTTGAATTAAGAAATGTGCAATTTGTCCTGAAGTAATCTTAGCTCAAATCACACTCAGATTGCAGAACCAATCAGATTGTCGGAAACGCCATCTCAAAACGAGGTCGGCTAATTTGACTTTTATAGTCGTAATAGATCTCAAAATGAAGTACTCATGCAGCTAATTTCATTTTTACAGTCGCAATTATAACAGCCATAATGTATTGTAGCATTTTTGTTTGTGTCAAAGTCATTAGTTCCACTCTGGTGTGCTCAGGAAACACAGAAGTTTGCTACACTTCGATACAGTTGGAGTGGAAAATGGCCTTTAGGATGGGGGTTAGGATCAGCGTTTTATATTTTTAGGTTACCTAGGACATGATTTTTAAAGTAAAAAATGTTATATTCACTGGTTTCATTTGGTTAGGGTAGGAATAGGGTGGGGGTTAGAATAAGGGTTTTATATTTTAAGGTTACCTAGGACATGATTTTTAAAGTAAACAATTTTATATTCACTGGTTTCATTTGGTTAGGGTAGGAGTAGGGTGGGGGTTAGAATCAGGGTTTATTTGTAGGTTATGGAGAGTTTAAAATCTTTTTAATAATCTTGATAAATAAAATGATGTCAGGTCAGTTTGCTTGCTAACATAAACAGGTCTGAAAAATTCACACACGCACGGTTTTTAAAATGAAATTATAAACAAATATTAAACTTTAACAGAAACTCAAATTTGCATCAAAATGTTGTTTTGTCTTTTAATAAATACGTAAAAGTTTCAGACAAGCCCAGTTAAGCGAATTTCACACTACAGTAGTACAAGCCATGACAAAGGCAAATTTAAAATATTTATACAATTAAACATCGATCTGTGTACGGGAAGAAGCTATGAAATGCGGCATATAAACAATAACAACGATTATTCAACTATTGGAAATTTTTGATCCAAATGAGATTTTATAATATTTATGATTTGCTTTGGGCCATACTGACAATATGGCATGATTGATGATATAACATTGAACCTCAAACGAGTTGAAAATGATATTACTCAAAGGTGACTTCGTACGCTCAATAGACAAGTTACAACATAGATCTAGAATCAACTTAGCAGTAAGTAAAGGTTTGTAGAACGTACATGTTTGAGGTATGGTGACTGCTGGATTCATCTTTTTCAGCAACAAAAACTTGACACTATAGCACATGAAATACAAATAGCCGCATTTAGCGTGAAATAAGCGTGCAGGAACCGGTTAGCACTTTTTTCCATCCAGCAAACCGCCCTATCGATTTTCTAAAGTCGTTTCTTTTTGGATTTTTTTATTAATTCGGTTAGGGTTAGGGTTAGGGTTAGGGTTAGGGTTAGGGTTAGGGTTGGGGTTGAGGTTAGGGAAAGAGTAGGGGTAGGATTTGAGTTAGTTACATAGCCATTTAACACCCTCTTCCATCTTCCAAAAATGACGTCAGGTCAGTTTGCTGGATGGAAAATAGTGCTAACCGCAGAAACCGTGAGTGGGAATGTGGGATACGCAAAATTATCCTAATTTATCCTAAGAAGATGTTTTCGTTCGGTCCAATGAAACACAAGTATTACTCACAAATACAAACGTTATCCATAAATGCACAAGGCCTCTGAGGGAGATAGGGACTCAGGAGGTCTGGAACTGGTAATTGTGCGCGTGCGTATGGTGTATGGGCTAATAAAGAAAGATATACCACAAGCATGGCATGAGTCGGCTACTACGAACACCGTGGAAAAACGTTTGCGCATGCGTCAACATTACTGAAATCTGTATTGCGAACGTGATGTCAAGTGTTCCGAATGTTGTCAAAAACTCAAAATGGAAGCGACTTCGATGTTTTGCCTTTTCTATGAAAACGGTAGCGGAATAATGAACGTGACAACCTAAAAACTAGAAATAATATATTATTGTCTATATGTGCAAGAAGTAGTATTATGCAAGAAAATAAACCAATGGTGACTGTCGATAAATTTATTGTATAAAACGTTCTTTAACTGAACCATACAATGATATTTTTCGTAGGTTCGGTAACTTTTTTTGCGTAGCGTGTATAATTTTGGCGTTGACTATATTCAAAGGTAATGAGTTACTCTACAATTAAATCGTGTGCAAATGCTTAACTATTCAGTAGTTTTCTTAACTTTTGTGCTTAAGTTCGGTATTTGACAATTTTTCAAGCAATGTTCACACGCCTCCCGGTCTTAAACGATATTTTTTATTTAAATTCTGTTTCTTTTTAGATTTTAAATGTTAGAAAACTTTTTATTAATGTCTAAACTACCCGTCTGGTGTATTTTTTGTTTGTTTCAATTACCTTAAATAATTAAATAGCCATGTCTTTGTTTATAATTTTGCATTTAAATTCCTCGCCATCTTTTTTGTGCCCCACGCATGCGCAGACGTTTTTCCGCGGTGTTGCTACTACGTACATAAATACGGAGCTTGTTACTATGAAAACTAAATCAAGCAATCGATGGCATTTTGGCTTAATCGTTGCACCCTGAGCCTGCGATGCGCTAACGCAAACTGCATTTCTCGACGACGAAAACAGAAAACAGAAAACAGAAAATTAGGGATTTTAGACAGTTGACCTTTCAGATCAGTGTAAAAAGGCTCTTGATTGCTGGAGACGATGTACTGTATGTTATAGGAAATTAACTGGGCTTTACGAGAACGATTTTTGAAGTCGATGCGACTAATTCGGGATAATTAAAGGGGAAGTGCCCTGCTTTCTCTATTTTTTCTCATTATTAAGTATATGTATATCAAGCAGATGGAATCACCCCAAATCAACCCAGAAAAGTCAATTACACATTGTACTAGTGGTAAGCAACCTTGTTTCTCAATTTAATACAATATTTTAGGGTTTTTGACATTATATATTCTGTCATAGTAAGCTAATATAAAAATACAAATATACTTCAACCACATGAGAGTTTTGGATGTCTGTGGCACAATTTATAGAAATACGTACGTTTAAAGTGGCGAGCAAGCCCAATTAGAAGCCATAGGCTTTTAAAGGCTTTTAAATACATTGGCTCCTTATAATATTGTAATATAGTTCACTAATTACATCGATTTTGAAGAGGTATAGAAAGAGAGTAAATGAATGAATGAGACTGGTATAAAATTGGTTTGTATTAGTCTACAATTGGTTATCGTTCTTTCGATAAACTCACTTTCATTAATTAAAATTTTGTTCTATGAAAAAAATTGCGTTTTCCTCCAAATGCAAAACGGAAGAGTTTTGTTGGCCTGGATACATCTTCCCAGTTTTTAAATAGTTTTCCGAAAACAAGAATAATGTATATATCACAAAGTCTCAAAGAAAAATAAAAAACAAGATACATATTGCCCTAGGGATAACAGTTTTTATTTCCATGACAATAAGAGTATTTACACATATGTCTGTCTTGTTGTAGATATTTTTGTAGACATGTCTGTCTTGTTTTAGATATTGACGAATGCGAAGAAGTCAAATGTCATGCAAGTGCTACCTGTGTCAACAATCCAGGATCGTTTGTCTGTAATTGTAATCCAGGTTTTATTGGTGATGGCGTAAGCAGGTGTTCAGGTATAAAGAACTATCTAGTGATCAAGTGTTTTACGACCCAGTGCCATGCTAAGATGCTGTACAATCTTTGCGTTGATCCAGTTTTTAATTTAATTTTGGCGCTTGTTATTTCCAGAAAGCCGTTACGGTACATTGCGTTCTCGTTACGATGGTCAACTCATTAGAGACCTTACGATGTGAAACGGCAACGTGACGACGCCGAGATTCAATGAGATTCATAATAATTAAGAAAATGAATAATTAATATACCCCGGAGCTTGAGACGATCTGTTTACAACGGGAAACTACAGACTTTTACGTATTGGATAAAACGCCTGCAAATTTCAAGAAGCGAGATACTGTACGAGTCTCAGAAAATTAGCTTAATAATACAGAAGAACTTTCTCAACAATAAAGCCACTATTTCAAGCTAACCAAACAGTATTAAATTCATACGATCAACAATAGTCTACAGGCTTTCTTTACAATCGTTTATTTGAATGATTTTATTCTGACCGTTGCCGTTGCGTTGCCGTTCTACATCGTATAATGTTCTCTACTATATCAATATACCAGACAAGTTTCTAGACGAATGAGTAATGCACTCGTTATCCATGGATAGCTCTATGAAATGGATGGTGGTATTTCCAAGTTTCATAAGTTATCTACTTATTGTCAATAACCTAGATTAAACTTTAACGTTTCTAGATAAATAATAGTTTCTTTTTATTGATTTTTACGTCCATATCCATAGGTTTCTAACTTTCCAACCACTTTTACGAAGGTTTGGAAAATCATTATGTGGGGCATAGCATTATTATATGGCTTTACACTCCATGCATCATGGGCTTTAACAGTATTCTTTATATGCTCTAGCAGCTACTGAAACTATTCGGCTAAACGTTTTGCTTTTCCGTGCTAAGTATACTTTTTGTTGGTTGAGTGGGTGGAGATTACTGAGACGAGCACTGAAAATAGGTTTTTTTTGTGAAAAGCTATCTTGTTTCTTTTTAGATAATTGCCAAATACCCTATTTATTATTCTCCACATCATCGGGGACGTTCTTCTATAATACAGAAGAATCTACAAGTAGCCCATTTATGTTCAATAACCGCGCAAATGCCTTAATGTCGTTTGATGGTATGAACAAACGGTTGTATTTCCATACAGCGAATGATAAAATTACAAGTTATAACTTGGATGGTTCAGATTTGATATTTGAGATTACAATTGTCAATCATAATGTGGAATTTTTTTCTGTGGATGGCCGGAATAATTTGATATATTATCATGACTCACTTCAAGACAGAATATTTGTGTACAATATCACAAGTGGTCAAAGTGCTTCAGTTGGAGCTCTGTCAGGTGTTTCTGGTATGAAAGATATGGAAATGGACATACCCAATGGGTAAATAGAATTAATTTCGCAATTATATTCAATTTGAATTTGATATATTATCTCATACCTATCTCAATCTCTTATCCCATACCTGTGTTAAAAGCGACCTTCCGATTGGTTTAGAGCAGGTGCGCTTGTCGTCGAGCTCACCTGCTTTTTGCCCGAACTCACTTGCTTTTCGCCAAACTCACCCGGGAGACTGCTCACGTTGCAATAAGAATAACAATGACGGACAAGATTTAGCCGATAAACCTAAACTCTCTTTTCAAGAACAAGGGAATATTGTAAAAAATTGTTTTAGCTTCAATTTAGGCCTTTGTTTGTTTGTTTGTTTGTTTGTTTGTTTGTCTGTCTGTCTGTCTGTCTGTCTGTCTGTCTGTCTGTCTGTCTGTCTGTCTGTCTGTCTGTCTGTCTGTCTGTCTGTCTGTTTGTAAGTCTATCTGTCTATCTGTCTGTCTGTCTGTCTGTCTGTCTGTCTGTCTGTCTGTCTGTCTGTCTGTCTGTCTGTCTGTCTGTCTGTCTGTCTGTCTGTTTGTTTGTTTGTT